CCCCCCCCCCCCCCCCCCCGCATCTCCCGGCACGACCCGGTGCGGCTTCAAGTTTGAATATTGCTCTCACTTTCATCGTTGTCGACTGTTGGTGGTGTTGTTACGGCCGGGGGGGCACGCTCAGACTCCTTCGCTTGGGAACACATCCCCTCCGCCCAAAGGAGAGACGAAAAAGAGCAACCAACACAACTTCTGCCCCGGGGGCGGACACCCTTGGGGGGGGGCCTTCTCTGCAATGATAACCTACGGGTTATCGCCCTCGTGAATACCTTCGTTTCGGTTGACTCATTGTCATGTCAAAAGCCCAGCGAACAAAACCGAAACACAACTTTGCTCCTTGTACTGCTGTTTGCCAGCGAAGGGCATGCCGAAAGTGACACTTTTTTTTCTCTGGAGGTGATGATGCGTCTCCCAATCCGTAGGACGTGAGCTTCGTCAAGAGCAGCAACCTTGCACTCTGCGGACAATCTCCCTCCGCTTCCATGGCACGCGGTACGGCGGTGGCTCACAGGCCGGCGTGAGGGGCTGGGTTTTCTTGGTCCAGGCGTGCTTGGTTTCAAAGCGAGCACCCACCCTCCCCCGGCATGTGCTTGGGTTGCTGAGGCAAACGGACTGGTGACATGCCATCCGAACGACGTTGCACCCATGTGCCGAAAACGATGTGAGACATGTGTGGATCACACCGGGGTGCATCATACGTACCTGGGTGTAAACATCTTACCCGGGCGAATATTCTGCGTAGCTGTGCGCATGCACCCCGTGACTAGTGCGCGCGAAAGCCCCAAGGTTGTGTGGAGACTCGAGGTGTAATGTAAGACTCGAGGTGTACAACAGTATTGTATCTGTGCGGTTGTTGTTGTTGACTTCACATTAAACCGTATGCCAGTTGCTAAATGCCAAAATCTAGCAAAGACTCTCAGCCCGTGGTCACGAACGTGCTAGAGCCATCTGAGGATCTAAAGAACACGCACACGTAGCAAGAAAAAGGTATCCAAGAGCCCGAAGAGGTACTACTACACCTATATATAATCCCTGCAGCACCGTACGCGTGCCCAAAACTGAACTACACGTCCGTCTCACCGTTCGACTACAGCAACATCACCCCCTACCTGTCCCACTCTGTACCAAAACGAATGATTGCCGACTACAGCATA